CTTCTTTTCTCATTAGGGTATTTTTTCTCATCTGTTGAAGGTTTGGAAGTCCTAGTTATCGAACTTTACAACTCTATGTGAAGTAAAAGTAAATAGATTGAAAGTTTTGAGGGAAAGGAACTTTTGATTTTATTATTAGTGACGTTTTGCTTTCTTGTTGAAGCTTTGTGCCGAATAGGCAATTTGATAGCTGAGGTAGAAGTAAAGGAAGAATTCACAGTGTTTCCTCGATGACCTCTCATATAATATGAACACTTTTTAAAATTGCTAAGAAAACAGTAAAGAATTTTCTTTTAAAATAAATTTGTTTAAGTAAAAATTAGTTGATTTAAAGAAATAGTTCTCACTGCACAATAGCAAAACAACTGTAAAAATGATCATTTAAGCTGAAACTGCAAAAGAATTTTAATAATCAGTGGAAAAATTATGGTTTCATGACCTTTAAAAATTTTATTAAAACAATAACTTACAATTAATTATAAAAGTATAGAGAAATAAAATAGTAAAACTACTATTTAGTATAGGATAACTTAAAGCATTAGAAACATTGAAACTTGTTTTATTTCTTTGTAAAAATGTATCACAAGTAGTTTAAACAGTGTTTCCCTTCACATCTTTTCTATGACTTGATGGCTTTCAATATTTTATTCTTTGCACTTCGAATGTCATGAAATATCTCCAGTAGTTTCTCTAAAATTTGAAGTATTTTTCTGGATTCACTTCCTCTGGGACAGCCTTTTCATTCTTTTCATCACAGTGACTTTCTTCATTGATGTTGATAAGTTCCCATTTGCTAAGTTCCTCTGCCTGCACATCTAAAGGCGCTCAAACCACAGCAGTGTCAACATTTGCCATGGCCAACTATTTCTTCTGTAACTTCATTTACACTGGATTCGAATTTCACTTCCAGCGCATGACTTTTCATTTCTTTGCTGCACTTTCATCTTCATTGGTAAGTTCTCTTTTTGGATTATCCATATGTGTAGAATATCATGTGGCTTTATCACTGGGTGTCAAGGAGGCAACAGCTGCACTCTTGTCTGTTGATTGTCAATGCCCAAACACCAACAGACTTTGAAAGAAGGGACATGATTGGTCACTGATTGTGATGCTCATCTGTCTTTTATGTGATGATTTGTGGATTGAAGAACTGGCATTGAAGTTTGTATTTTATGTACTCACAGTTAATATATGGTAACTGAAATTTGAGCCATGTTCTTCAGGACTGGTCTTGTTAACTAAACCTTGGTATACACCATGGTAATTGAAATTCATGCATACCAGAATCATGCAAAATGAGAACTATGCCTGTAATTAAAAAAAAAGAAAGAAAGAAAGAGGCTATATTTGGATTTGGAAAATATGTGAAGGTGATCATAGGACTGAATCTGAGAAATTTACATAATAACGTAGTAGTCTTTCAAAAACCCTTTATTCTTTACAAGAAAATAGTTTAAGATTAAAGGATCTTAGGTATATTCCTTAAAGGGGAATTCGTGTGTGTGTGTGTGTGTGTCTGTGTGTGTACGTGTACATTAAGACTAAAGGCAAAGGTCTGAAAGGAAAAAGTTTTAGCATTTCTTGCACTAATATATTCTGTAAACTTCTACTTCTTTCTGCGATTTGATTCTTCTCCATTGTTCAATACTTATATGATTAAAACCTTCATATTTGTAATCTGAGTAATTCTGGCCTGTGGTTGGTCCCTTTTGTTAAATCCTCCTCTGTAGTGGTTGTGATTGTTGCTATTTCATTACTCAGCAGAAGTGTTGTGAGGTCTGCATTTATTTTTTTTGCATAAATAGAAAGGGAAGAGGGCTATAAAGGGTTACACAGTGCCTAAGGGACTGAATTAAGCTCTTTTTTATGTGCAAACTTTACAACTTGGAAGGGGAAAAAACTCCAAAAATGTTTATTGAAACATTTACAATATATTGAAGAGTATAAAGAAACAAAGTTAAGATCACCTGTAGTTCTGTCACTCAGATAAAACCTCTGTTAATATTTGGGTGTATAACAGTCCATACTTTTGTTTTCATACATGTACACAAACATTCTTTCACTTTTACACAAAATATTTAAAAATGGGACCACATTGTATATGCTTCCTCCAAGTGGATTTCTAGGGTACAGACACATTTTTAAAGCTTTTTTTTTTAAAAAAGAATATCCAAAACATTATATAGAGACTAGATTAAAATGAACACAACGTACCTCTTACCCAGGTTTAATGATTTTAGTAAATAAGCACTCTTGTTTCATCTATACTCTTGCATTATTACGAAGTCAGTTCCAGGTAAATATTTCAGCATACATAGTTAAAAATTTTACTTTTTTCCAAATTGCTTTTCAGAAAACTGTCATCAATGTACACTTGACAGAGATAAGATTTAAAAAGCTTTAAAAAGTTTTAATGTTGTTATTCAGTATGGTATTGGAAGTCTTACTCAGAGTAATCAGGCAAGAGAAAGAAATAAAAGACATCCAAATTGGAAATCAAGAAGTCAGATTGTCACTTTTTGCAGACATGATTCTTTATATAGAAAACGCTAAAGACTCTGCCAAAAAACTATGAGAAACAATAAACAAATACAGTAAAGTTGCAGGGTACAATATCAGTGTACAAAAATCCATTGCATTCCTATATGCCAACAATGAAAAACCAGAAAAAAATGGAAAAAAATATTCCTTTGCATTTGCAACAAAAAAGAATAAAGTACTAGGAATAAACTTAACAAAGGATGTGAAAGACCTGTACACTGAAACCTATAATACCTTATTAAAATAAGTTGAAGAAGACACAAAGAAATGGAAAGATAGTCTGTGTTCATGGATTAAAAGAATCAACATAGTTAAAATGGCCATATTACCCAAAGCAATATACAGATTTAATGCAATTCCTGTCAAAATCTCAACGACACTTTTTAAAGAAATAGAGCAAAAAACCAGATTTGTATGGAACCACAAAAGACCCCAAATAGCCAAAGCAATAGAAAAAAGAACAAGGCTAGAGGTATCAGACTCCCTGACTTCAAATTATACTACAAAGCAACAGTAATCAAAACAGTATGGTATTGGCAGAAAAACAGACACACAGACCAATGGAACAGAATCGAGAACCCAGAAACAAACCCACTTATATATGGACAAATAATTTTTGACAATGGAGCCAAAAGCATACAATGGAGACAAGAAAAGCCTCTTCAGTAAAGGGTGCTGGGAAAATTGGAAAGCCACATGCAAAAGAATGAAACTAAACTGTTTGTCACCATACACAAAAATTAACTCAAAATGGATCAAAGACCTAAATATAAGACCTAAAACAATAAAATGCATAGACGAAAACATGAGTTATAACCTCATGGACCGTGGTCTTAGAATTTTATGAATTTGACCTCAAAAGCAAGGGAAGTAAAGACAAAAAAGTAAAGGCAAACTGAAAAGCTTTGCACAGCAGAAGAAACCATCAACAAAGCAAAGAGGCAATCAACTGAATGGGAGAAGATTGTTATTTGCAAAGAATACCTCCGATTGCAGGCTAATATCCAAAATATATAAAGAACTCATACAACTCAACAGCAACAAAAAAATCCATTTAAAAAATGAATAGAGGACCTGAACAGACACTTCTCTCAAGAAGACATACCAACAGCCAACAGACACATGGAGAGATGTTCAACTTCACTAGCTATTAGCGAAATGGAAATCAGAACCACAATGAGAGACCACCTCATACCTGTTAGAATGGCTATCATCAACAAGACAATAACAAGTGTCAGAAAGGTCATGGGGAAAAGGGAACCCTTTCATATATTGCTGGTGGGAATGTAAATTGGTACAGTCACTATGGAAAACAGTATGGAAGTTCCTCAAAAAAAAATTAAGAATAGAATTACCATGTAATCCAGCAATCACTCTCTGGGTATCTACCTCCCCCCAAATTTAAAAACGTTTATTTTTAAAAACATATACCCGTATGTTAATTACAGCATTATTTACAGTGGTCAATACACAGAGACAACTGAAATGTCCTTCGATAGATAATTGGATAGAGAGACAATGTGGTACGTGTATACAATGGAATATTACTTAGCCATGAGAAAAGATGAAATACTGCCATTTGTGACAACATAGATGGATCTTAAGAATATGCTAAGCGAAATAATTTGGACGGAAAAAGTTGAGAACCATATGATTTCACTCATGTGGTATACAAAACTGAAAGCAACAAACAAAAACTCATAGACACAGACAACAGTTTAGTGGTTACCAGAGGGAAAGGAGGTGGAGAGGTAGAAAAGAGTGAAGGGGGTCAAACATATGGTGACGGAAGGAGATTTGACTTTGGCTGGTGAACACTCAGTGCAATATACAGATGATGTATTATAGAATTGTACACTTGAAACCTATATAATTTTATTAACCAATGTCACCCCAATAAATTGAATAAAAATAAAATTTTAGTGTTATGAGTTACGTTCTATATATATCATTTTACTCAGTTAATACAAAGAATTCTAATAAAGTAAATTTGGAAATGCTTATACTCTGGCAGCAAACTTTACAGTTTCTCATCAATC